TCTCTCTCTCTCTCTATATATATATATATATATATATATATGTACCTAATCCGTTGTATTTTGGATCAGACCGAAACTACTGTTGAAATATAGAAATGAGTTATATACTTTGATACACATTATTTTCTACTTTTTTCTCTCTTTATAAGCATTAAGGAGACTTTTCAATTTGTATAATATTTGTAGTAAGGAAACATTACTTTTACAAAGAAAGAAGATGAAGGCTATTATTGTTTTCTGTGTTAAACTATTTACAAGTTAATGGTGCATTTTAATCTAAAACCAAAATATATAATGTGTAGGTTTTCAAAATGATTAGATCCGTTTTTAGATTTAATCTTTCAAAATATTGGGAGATAAAAGTGCTCAAAAAGAGGTGAGATATAATTTTATGGATTTGACTATCGTACCAAAAAAACAATTATGGTACTATGCCAAAATTTATTACATTTATGAATATTTTTATTATTATTGTAGTACCAAAAAAAAATGATAAAAATAATTACTATAATAGTAGTAAAACATTCATCATTACGGTAAATCACCCATAAAAGTGGTAATTTCTTTATACCGAAGAAAAATGATAAAAATAGTTATTACAACAATGATAACGACATTACAAAAATAGTGAATAATTTATAAAAATGGTAAATTTTTTGGCGGTAAAATGATCCACAAGTTATAGAAATACCTTTTGAAATAGTAAATTTTAGAAGTGTGATAGGAAAATTTGTTTGAGAGTACCACAATAAAGTCCTAATTTTACCCTTAGTAAGCATATATGCTTACAATATTATGAATACCTCTGGGTCCTTGGTCTCAAAATCAACAGGGGTGGCCACATGAAATACTCCATCGCAACCTTCAATGGCTTCGTCAAAGCTTCCTTCTTCTGTAAGGTCTGCCTTCCATAACGTCAAGTTTGTGTCGGCTTTTGGCAATTCTAGCAGAAGCTTCACCTTCTTCAGGTTATCTGCATCCCCACCAACACAACCAAACCAACTGCACTCAACTTTCATAAACACCCACACACACACACACACACACACACACACACACATACACACAAACATGGCTGTTTATATGAGAGGCTGTCAACAGAAGGACACAAATAAAAGAAAGAAGAAAAAGACTGTACGTGGATCGCGAACGGTTGCACGGACAATATAGTCCCGTTCAAGGAGTTTCATGACAAGCCATGAGCCTACGAATCCGGAACCTCCGGTGACACATACGGTGGCCGGTTTGTCCTGTCCCATATTGACGGTATTTAGAAACGGAGTGTGTGACCAACTGGAATTGGCAAGAGAAACTACAAAGGTCTTTGGTAATGGGCGACACTGGAACATATATAAAGGGTAAAATACAATTTTCTAATTTGTGTCTATGATTAGAACCGTTAACTATTTGATATATAAATGGGTCCTAGCCAGTGTTGCATTTGATAATGTTATGTTGTTGCTGCGCACGTGCTCAAACCGACTTCCATCTAAAGAGTGTGCACTGAATTGAAGAATGGTTGGAGGGACTTGATGTCTACCCACTGGCTGAGCTCTCGATGAAAGAAAAATCAATGGAAGTCGTAGCATTTTGAGTGGTACATAACAATTATACATGGAGTTGTATTTGACAATGTATTGTTAAGTCTTTGATTGACTGTTGGGTGAAGCCATGAATGCAGTGTGTTCTAACCAACCTTCTTTTGGACCAACTGATTTGATTGGGGATATGAGATCCTCCGAACTCTGAACTATTGTTGACATCTCTTGGAGGATAAAAAACAGAGGGATCACCCTTCAGATTTAACATTGAGTGAAATCTCAAAACAGTCATGTTCTTTGCTTTGGACATAATTGAATGTGACATCATTATCATCGCCATCGTCGCCTAGTTGAGAGAGAGTTTTTAATAGGTGAGCTTTGTATGCAGACTTCGAACTTGCTGCTGCCATTTGTTGCTTGTGCTTAATACTTGATCATCATAAAATCAACATAATAAGCGATTTTAGAAAAATTAGGATGTTGTTATAACCACTTGTGAATTTGATCGTAGAGTAATGTTGGAAATGCTACATTACCATCGATCAAGTCATTAATACTTGAGATTAGCGTTAGCAGAATTTGATTGAACTGGCCGGACGAATCGGTGAACTAAGACCTAAATTGATTTAGGTTACTTAAGGTCATTTGTGCTATTGAACCGTTAAAAGACATTCAAATCCGCCAATTTTAGATAAAATTAGGTATAATCTGTGCCTAAAATTATGATATAATATGAATTATTTTGAAAGAGATTATTAATAGTCATTGAATGAGTGTATTTGAGACCGTATGATGAACTTGTTAAAATTTATACTGTTTTATATTATAAATTGTTGATTCTGACAATTTTTATGAAATCGATCAATTCTAAGCTTAATTAAATTAAAAAAAAATTGTAGGAGCCATTTTTTGGGGCAATTTTGCCCTAAAGATTGAACGTTTGAGAGTCAGACCTCGAGACTTCAGCCTCTTCCGTTTCGTCCGTCTTCTCTGGTGATTCTCCATCCACACGACGAAGAACGAACAGTCTGGCAATTCTCGATCGAACTCCCCTCAACCATTGATCTGCCCTCATCTGTGTTATTGTGTATATCTTCTTCTCCGTTTCTTCTCTCTCTCTACACTCACACACACTCAGAATAACACATACACAGACAAATGCGGAGTCCTCTCCACTCTTTCTGTGACGTATGTTTTCTTCCATTTAGACAATTTGAACGGAGTGCTAAAAAAACCACAGTGTGCAACCAGTTGACTCAGTTTCGGTCATGAGTATGCTTTTAAGTTTGGTTTAAGCATTAGAATATTTAAATCATGTGTTTTCATTTGAATGATGATAGTATTAAAATCATGATTTTGAATTTGATTAGAGATTATGGTATGTTAAATTGTATGTATTGTGAACATGTTTTTTTTATAATTAAATTATTATATTTTATAATTTTTTATTATATGATCAATTTAACTAATTGATCCATCAAATAAACTAATGAAGTATTGATCCGATTCTTCCATCGGTTCGATACCTACTCTGACTCTCATAACACTACTTTAGAATCATTGACTACGAATGAAATCATGGAGCAAACGATCTGATTGAGGATTTGACATCCTCCAAATTATGCTATGGCAAGTGTCTCTTGTATTAAATTATTTTTTAGTCTATTTTTTTTTATTTTATGTTTCAATATACACGCCGAATAATTTCACACTAAAATTACAAATAATGTCATCGTCTCCCGGGTTGAGATCCTCCCTAGTATATTTTCATTCAACGATAACTCACATAAAGAGCTCACTTATAGTTATAATGGGTCTCACTTAAATTGTAACCATCAAGGTAAGAATAGTTCTTTGATTCCATTTCTAACCCCCCCCCCCCAA